ACCTTGCAATATGAACCTGTATTAATTGGTTAATCCAATAACTAAATGCCATTCAGGTTATCTGCAAAAACATCCGTGCTTCATTGGCAGACCTTGTTTAGTACAGTGGTACCTCGGGTTAAGTACTTAATTCGTTCCCGAGGTCTGTACTTAACCTGAAACTGTTCTTAACCTGAAGCACCACTTTAGCTAATGGGGCCTCCTGCTGCTGCGCCGCCGCTGGAGCACGATTTCTGTTCTCATCCAGAAGCAAAGTTCTTAACCTGAAGCACTATTTCTGGGTTAGCGGAGTCTGTAACCTGAAGCGTATGTAACCTGAGGTACCACTGTAATAGGAATATCTTGTTACTCGGAAGCAACCAGATGGGTAGGCCGGCTAAAATGGGTACCAGCTTCATCCTGCAGAATGATAATTCAGTTGGCTAGAGCATAGTGCTGATAACGCCAAGGTTGCCGGTTCGATTCCTGTATGGAACAGCTGCATATTCCTGCTTTCAGCGGGTTGGACTGGATGACCCTTGGGGTCCCTTCCAAGCCCGCAGTTCTAAAACCCTGCAGGTGCAACAATGCCCAGGCACAGCCTCCGGCCAGTGCAGACTCATTGCAATGTTGGGGGCAGCTGTAGCTGTCCCTCGAGTCGAGCCAGAATGCTTTCTGGTAAACAGGGACATGTGCCGAATCTCTGTGTTTGCATCTGGTCTCCCATAGGGCCTCCGGATCTGCTGTTCTGTGCACATATTGTGGAAATGACCTTCCTTTTCAGTTAGTGAAGAACAGCAGCTCAGCCGGGGTCAAAATAGGAGCTTACATTGCATGAGACAGACACTGCGTGAAATCTCATGGGCAGGGAAGAGGTCTACAGTTAATAATAATAATAATAAATAATAATAATAATAAATTTTATTTATTCCCCCGGCCAAAGCCGGGCTCAGGGCGGCTAACACCAGTAAAATTACAATAAAAACATAACGCGGGGGGGGGGGCATTTTAAAATACAAAAAATAAAATACAATTTAGAATGCAGCCTCATTTTAAAAGTAGCCCATAGATCAAGACCATAAGGGGAGGGCAGCATAAGGGTCAGACTGAGTCCAAACCAAAGGCCAGGCGGAACAGCTCTGTCTTGCAGGCCCTGCGGAAAGATGTCAAGTCCCGCAGGGCCCTAGTCTCTTGTGACAGAGCGTTCCACCAAGTCGGGGCCAGTGCTGAAAAGGCCCTGGCCTTGGTTGAGACCAATCTAACCACCTTGCGACCTGGGACCTCCAAAATGTTGTCATTTGTGGACCTTAAGGTCCTCCGTGGGGCATACCAGGAGAGGTTTAGCTCTACACAGAGCAACCTTCCTATGCGTTTTTCTTCAAAAGCCCAGGGTGTTCAGTCAGGCTTGCAGCCTAGCTAAGTGTGTCTGAGATCACATCCTTAATTCATTTGCCATTCTGCCCTCATCCCCCAAAATGAGTTGGTTTCTAATCCATTTGAAAAGGCAAAGGCATGCACTCTGACTCTGACCTCCCTCTGCAATAGCAAGGGTGCTGGAAAATGGTCCTTCTGCTGGGCACCATGCAAAAACAAAACAATGCAAACGTAATTATCTTTGGTCACATCCCCACCATATATTTTCAATGTGCTCCTGTACCAATTGAACAGTCTGGATGGTCTCTTCCTTCAGAGAATCCTGGGAACCTTGGTTTGTTCAGGGTGCCAAGAGTTGTTTGACCACTCAACTACAATTCCCAGAACCCTTAACAAAGGATACTTGGCCGGGGGGGGAGGAGCCAGGACTGTTAAAGTGGCATAAGAGTTGTTTTAAATGCATGATGTGGGTGTTTGATGATGGTGCTTTCTTACATAGATATTGGCTCAGGGCAGTGGCATAGCGTGGTTTGCCGGTGCCCAGGGTGCACATTCTGGGGAGGGTACAGAGGGTGAACGGAGCCCGCAGCGCCACCACAGTCCTCACCTCTGATGCTGCTGGAGTAACCGCCCACCAGAGCTCTGCAAATCCCACTACCAGCCAGGTGGCTATTCAGCGAGGAGGCTGGGGAGACAGCAGTGAGGCCAGGCTGGGCTTTAGGACCCGGGACCCCCAGAGGCAGACAGGGAAGGACAGGGAGCCAAAGATGGAACCTGGCAGGACAAGGATTTCCGCAGAAACCAGCACTTGCCTGGGGGGGGGCATGGGTTGTGCCCACTCAAAATTGTGTGCCCAGGGCCGCGACCCCCGCTAGCTCCCCCATGCTACACCTCCCTGGGTGGGCGGCATCCAAGGTACTAACCCCCTAAGTGAATGCATCCCTTCACTAAATGGTACTTTGGGATTCAAGCGCTGTTGTTGACATCCGTCTGCCTCGAGAGACAATGGACCCACGTACCTACGGGACCGCCTCCCCTGGTATGCCCAGTGGAGGACTTTAAGGTCCACAAATGTCAACACTTTGGAGGTCCCAAGTTGCAAGGTGGTTAGATTGGTCTCAGCTAGGGCCAGGGCCTTTTCAGTACTGGCCCCAACTTGGTGGAACGCTCTGTCTCATGAGACTAGGGCCCTGCGGGACCTGACATCTTTCCGCAGGGCCTGCAAGACAGAGCTGTTCCGCTTGGCCTTTGGTTTGGGCTCAGGCTGACCCTTATGTTTTCCCTCCCCTTATGGTTTTGATCTATGGGCTGCTATTAAAATGAGGCTGTATTTTAAATTGCATTTTAACCTGTATTTTAAATTGTTTTGTTGTTGTTTTCCCCCCCTACTATGTTTTTATTGTAATTTTACTGGTGTTAGCCGCCCTGAGCCTGGCTCTGGCTGGGGAGGGCGGGGTATAAATAAAATTTATTATTATTATTATTAATGGAGTGCACCTCTGGGGGTGAAGTCAAACCACTGTGTTAGCAGCACCGCAGTGACCTGCCCGGGGCTCAAGCCTGGGCAGTGTGTGTGGAGGTCCTGGGCTGCCCAGATTACAGGATCCCCTTGGCCTCGCTGATGTGGTCCGAAGGAAAGCAGAGCAATAAAATCTGGGACATTTGAAAGACATAGGAACTATGCTTCCTTTAAAACCAGCTGAGCACCTCAGGACGACATGCTGTTCAGCTGAGTCATAAGCTGCTGAAAGATGCTTGCAAGGCAAGTAAAAAAAAATAGAGGGCATATGGCGTTTATATGATTTCCTGCACCACTAACATCTAGTGAATGTTACTGTAAAACACCTTCAGTTTATATAGGAATATGTCATGGGGCGGTTCGAATCCCCACGACGGGGTGAGCTCTCGTTGCTCGGTCCCTGCTCCTACCAACCTAGCAGTTCGAAAGCACGTCAAAGTGCAAGTAGAGAAATAGGTACCGCTCCGGCGGGAAGGTAAACGGCGTTACCGTGCGCTGCTCTGGTTCGCCAGAAGCAGCTTAGTCATGCTGCCACATGACCTGGACGCTGTACGCCGGCTCCCTTGGCCAATAAAGCAAGATGAGCGCCGCAACCCCAGAGTCGGCCACGACTGGACCTAATGGTCAGGGGTCCCTTTACCTTTACCTATGTCATGGGGCAGGTGACCATAAGGGACTCTCACCCCCTCCAATAAATTATAGTCACTCTGCTCCTTGTGAGAACAGTGCATGCAGCTGCTTCAAGTTCTCTTTCCCCAAAACTGGCATGGTTGGAAAACCAATTGATAAGATTTACAACTTGAATTATTTACATCTGGGACAGCTTTCTTCTTCTTCTTATTGGTTGCAGGATGCTGGGAGTTCCATCCTTTGGATCCTTGCAAATGGGGTTTGCTGTTTGTTTTTATTAAATATTTTCTTGATTTACAAAAGTGTGTGCAATGTGTCTCTCTCGTATTTTTCCCCCCATGTAACATTTTTACAAATCAGTTTCATTTGCTGAGAATTTGAAGTCAGTAAGCCTCTCCTCTAAGCTAGCTTTTGGCGAGTCTTGGAGCTTCCGCTTTTGTGTTAGTTAATACCGGTGTGTTGTGGTTGCAGTATGGTTCCAGTGCAAACAAGGATGTGGTCTCCGGTCCAGTTGAATTAGAGAATCGTAGAGTTGGAAGGGACCCCATGGATCATCTAGTCCAGGGGTCAGCAAACTTTTTCAGTAGGGGGTCGGTCCACTGTCCCTCAGATCTTGTGGGGGGCTGGACTATATTTTTTGGGGGGGAGGGGGAATGGTGCAAGAGCACCATGAGCCCCAGTGGCTGCTTAGCTGTGTCTTGCGAGCGGCAGGGGCTGGCGGCGGCGGTGGGACGATGAGTGGCACGCGAAAGGGCTCTGGAGAGGGGCTGCTTTAAATGAAGGCCTCTCGAGAGGGGCGCTCAGCCAACCATGGCTCCTGTGTCTTGTGAGCGGCAGGGGCCGGCAGCGGAGGGACGATGAGCGGCACGCGAAAGGGCTCTGGAGAGGGACTGCTTAAAATGGCAGCCGCTCGAGCGCTGCTGCTGCTGCTGCTGCATAGCTGTCAACCATCCCTTATTTGGCGGGAAAGTCCCTTATCCCAGCTCTGTGTCCGGCTGCTGTCCCTTATTGATGATGTCCCTTAAATTTCCCTGGTTTCAAAGGAAGCAGCTCCTCTCCCTCCCTCCCTCCCTACCAGGGAGGAGGGAGGCTCCAAGTGTGTTGCTTGGCTGCGTTGCTCACCCAGTAAGGAGTCTAAGAACGACTGGGGGGGTGGAGCTTGCATGCCTTGTGCTGATCAAATCGGCCGCGTTGCCTGGGGACTCGCCTTTGCTCAGCGCTTCCCAGCGGAGAGGTGACGCTGGTTTTCCTTGCTGCATCCCCTTTGCTGGGTTGCTGCGCTGTGGGAACTACCGCTTGAGGCTTTGGCTGCTGTCTGGTCTTTCTGCCTTTGGCTCGGAGGGGCTCAGAAGTTGAACATACCTGTGCTGGGAAAATCCCTTATTTTGGCTGCTGGTCCCTTATTTTCAAATCTGTAAGTTGACAGCTATGTGCTGCTGGCACCAACAAATCCCAGCCGCCTTCCTCCTCTAGGCAGGGCGGGGAGAAGCCAGGAGAAGGGAGGGAGGAGGCGCCACCGCCGTGTGAGGGAAAGGGAAAGGACACGCACACTGGCAATCCACATGGCAATTCCTGGATCGTCCGCGGGCCAGATCCAGAAGGCAATTGGGCCTGATCCAACCTGTGGACCTTAGTTTGCCGACCCATGATTAGTCTAACCCCCAGGAATGCAGGGATCACATGCTTCCTGGTGCTGGACTCCCTTGCTGTCCCTAAGCCCTTCTTCCTAAGCTGACTCTAGCAAGACCCTGCCTGATGGAGGAGTTGCTTAGCTCTCAGTTACGACATGGGAAGTTATCAGAAGCGGCCTTATATGGAGTCCATTTAAGTGCAGTTGACACTGACGGGCAGCCGCTTTCTTGTGCTTCGTACAGTGATCTTCTCCAGGCTTACCTGGAAGTACCAGGGGCTGGGTGTATGGGGTGTTAGGGGCGGGATAGTACCTTTACTGGGGGACACGCCGTGCTCCTTCTGGGGCAGTTCATCCACCTTTGGTCCCCACAGTATTTTATTCAACACCCCTGTGCTTATATATAGGTCATGCAATTCATAGATTTTTTTAAAAATCTAGATTGGATTTCACGCAGAACCTTTCTAGAACTGGTGCCTTGCTCTATTTATTTCACCTGAAGGCCCCGATCTTGCAAAGACTTCACTTTCCACTTTCCTGTGAGGAAGTGGTTTCAATGGAAGTAGGTGTCAAAGTGAAGGTAATTTACCCATGCAGCTCTTATTGTGGGGCAGAAGCTGATTGTGTGTGTGTGTGTGTGTGTGTGTGTGTGTCTACACTCTTGCGCTGCTTTTTCCTCCCAGTGATTCTCACTCTGTTTCTCTCCCCTCCTCTTCGATTCCCCACAAGACCGAAATGGAAGATGTGAGCTCCAAAAGGGTCAGCGAATTCTTGCAGAAATGCGTCAAGCTAGAGGATAGCGAAGGGGACGCCCAGCCCAAGGAGGAGATCATAGAACTGCAGACCCTCCCTATTCTTGCACCATCCTACCCTCAGACAGTACAAGGTATGGACGTTCCCTTCCTCGCATCCTCCATTGAGATCATCCTTATCAGTTTATTTATATGCCACTTTGCCACAAAATTGTGTATGAAGAACCCCCTCTCCCTCCTTTTAAATATACCATATTTTTTGCACCATAGCACTCACTTTTTTCCTCCTAAAAAGTAAGGGGAAATGTCTGTGCGTGTTACGGAGGGAATGCCTACGGGTGGCATGCCTACGGATTTTCCTCCTCTAAAAACTACGTGCGTGTTATGGTCGGGTGCGTGTTATAGAGCGAAAAAGACGGTAATTATAGCAACAAATACAGTGGTGCCCCGCAAGACGAACGCCTCGCAAGACAGAAAACCCGCTAGACGAAAGGGTTTTCCATCGCGGAGGCGCTTCGCAAAACGAATTTCCCTATGGGGTTGCTTCGCAAGATGAAAAAATCTTGCGCATCCCCACGGGTTTTTTTCGCTCCCCCCCTTTTCCTAAGCTGCTAAGCCGCCTATCAGCTATTCCGCTGATAACCCGCTTAACAGCTGATCGTGAAAAGCCGCTAGACAGCTGTAGCGCTAATCCGCTAAGCTGTCAATGGGGTTGCTTCGCAAGACGAAAAAACCACTAGACGAAGAGAATCGCGGAACGGATTCTTTTCGTCTTGCAAGGCACCACTGTACAAAAAACCCCAAAACTATCCATATTTGCATAACCAGGCTAAAAATCTACTAACCTCATTTACCAGCTTAAACTGAACATTGCATTGCTACAATTTACGATATTAAAGCTGGGATAGCTCAGCCAGTAGGGACGCAGGTGGCGTTGTGGGTTAAACCACAGAGCCTAGGACTTACTGATCAGAAGGTTGGCGGTTCGAATCCCCGCGACGGGGTGAGCTCCCGTTGCTTGGTCCCTGCTCCTGCCAACTTAGCAGTTCGAAAGCACGTCAAAGTGCAAGTAGATAAATAGGTACCACTCCAGCGGGAAGATAAACGGCATTTCCGTGTGCTGCTCTGGTTCGCCAGAAGCGGCTTAGTCCTGCTGGCCAAATGACACGGAAGCTGTCATTTGGCTCCCTCGGCCAATAAAGCGAGATGAGCGCCACAACCCCAGAGTCGGCCACGACTGGACCTAATGGTCAGGGGTCCCTTTACCTTTACTTTAGCTCGGCCAGTAGAGCATGAGACTCTTAATCTCAGGGTTGTGGGTTCAAGTCCTGTGCTGGGCAAAAGGTTCCTGACCTCTCCTCTTATTCCCGCAGAGGAAATATCCATGGTCTTCAATACCTGCGCGATGCCAGCCAACCTGGGTCCGTGCACCAGGCGGAGGCGCGAGAAAGGCAGTGGCCACGACGGGACGAGCGCCTCCCTCTACGTCGACCGCCGCAAATCCAAGGTGTGGAACTACTACACAAAGCTGGGGGATGCCTACGTGGAGTGCAACGTCTGCAAGAAGCAGCTCTCCTTCCACAACAGCACCACCACCATGAGGGAGCACCTCGTGAGGAAGCACAGCATCCGTGACACCCTGCTCTCTCAGCTGAAGGACGACCAGGTTCCCGACCCCGACTACGTGGCTCAGGAGACGGCGATAAAAAGGGCCCGCCAGCTCACGCCCGAAAACAGCAGCCAGTACCACGCCGCCTCCTGCGCGGAACCCAGGACGGACGTGATTCTGGAGCTGGTGCTGGAAATGATCTTCCGTGACCTGCACCCTCTCTCGGTGGTGAAGGACAAAGGCTTTGGCCTTCTGATTGGCTATCTAGAACCTAGCTTTATTCTCCCGTCCCCCATGCAGCTCTCTAGCATGTTGTGGCACCGGTACAACGTGGTCAAGCAACACCTAGAACATTACCTGCAAACGGCCCACTCGATTGTGATCTGCGCTGAGTTCTGGCTGTCCCAGCCCAACCAGACCTACTTGACAATCATGACTAACTTCATCGACGGGGAGTGGAGGCGGGCCAGGTGTATCTTGGAGACCCAGCAGGTGCACGAGGATAAAGGGGAGAGTAACTTGGGAGACCGGCTGTACTCGGTCCTGACGGACTTTGGGCTGTCCAACAAGTCGGTCTTCTGCGTGATGCACGACAGCCTGCAGGATTTGGGGGCCAACTCCTCGCAACTCAAGTGCGTCTACGGCTGGACCAGCCTGTGCTGTGCCGCCCACCTGCTGCACCTGTGCGTCAAGGCGGGTCTCGAAGTGGAGCAGGTGCAAGAGGCCCTGAGCGCGGCGCGCAGCATCGTCTGCTACTTCCAGCAGGACGCCAAGGCCACCTGCTCGCTCAACAGCAAGCTGGAAGCCATCAACAAGACGAAGCTGAAGTTGGTGATGGACACGGGGGCTCGGTGGATAACCACCATTGAGATGTGCGAGTGCCTGCTGGACCTCAAGTGGGCTATCATGTCTGTGTTGGAGGAGCACCCCAAGGGAACAGCGGTGGTCCAGAACTTGGCCGACCACCAGTGGAAGCTCTTGCAGGACCTGGTGCCCGTCATGAGAACGCTCAAGATCGCCACGTCCTTCTTGCGGGAGGAGCAGAACTTCTCCATCTCCTCCCTGATGCCGTGCATCCATGGCATTGTCACAGCTATAGGGCAGCAGTCGGAAGAAGCGAGCGGCGTCATCAAGACGGTGGTGAGCAACATCAGGTCGGAGCTCACCCAGCGCTGGGGGATCTTGGATGAGGAGAAGTTGCTGGAGAGCCCAGCGGTGGTGGCCTCATTCTTGGACCCGCGTTTCAAGGAAATGAGGTTCCTGAGCCCCAGCCTGAGGAGCGAGCTGCACAAAAAGATCAAGAGCATGCTCTCCCAGTTCTTCAACCACCAGTCCCCGCTGTCCAACCAGTTCTGGGTGCCGAACGCCGACTACAAAGCAGAGGTTGGCGAAACGGCCTGCCAGGTCTCTGCCCATAAGGAGAGAGGCCCGAGCGGGCAGTCTCAGAGCATGTACGACATCCTTTTGGGGAAGGACCCCACGGAGAGCATGCCTGAGATCCATCAGCAGCTGGAGAACTACATTGTGGAGCCTCTCTGCAAGCGCAGCACCAACCCCTTGGACTGGTGGAAGAACAATGAACACCGCTTCCCCTCCGTAGCCAGGTTAGCCCGGCAATACCTGGCCATCCCGGCCACAGTCGTGCCACCAGAACAGGCCTTTGCTGCCAGCGAAAGCGCCCTGGAGCATCGGAGAGGTGTGCTTGCTCCTGAGAACCTGGACCAAATCCTCTTCTTGCACCAGAATTTCGATTTTTTAGAATCGATGAGAAATGGCAACGAGAATCTGAGTAAGGCGGTTCACAACCAGTACTGAAAGTCAGGTGTGCCGAGGCCAGTGTATTACGGTGTGGCCACTGCACTGGGAGATGAGAAGGGATGTAAGGGGGACACCTTGGCCCTCAGGTTACTTTAGGGGAGGCACAGGTCAGGGCCTGATCTTGCCTGCTTAAATTAAAGATGAAAGTTTGCCTGCTGTCTAAACTCACCCTTGTTCTTCGCTGTAGTGGTATCTCAACCTACAACTCAGTAGTGTTTTTTCTTGAAAGGGTGTGCTGGACTCGGAGCAGAAAACAGACCTTAGAAGGGCCATATCCAACAATAATCTCAAAAGATACAGGTGTGTTTCTGGAAGGCCAATCCTAGTCTGGAGGTCTATAATAAACCGAACCATTTACCTATCTTACCCTGGAAAAGAAGGTAAATAGGGAGAGAATGTAGAAATCGCTCCAGAGCTCGTGGGGCTCACTTAGTTTAGTGCATTATAATGCTTGTGGTGTGTGTCTTCCTTTTCATTTGCCTTTAAGGTTCCTATGAGGCCCTTCCATTGAGGGAGACATAGGTGTTTTGAGCCTCCGTCACCCCTTTACCTGTGTTGGAATCCTGTAAAACAGAGGTGGCTACCCACCAGATGTTGTTGGGATGCAACTTCCATTGGCCTTGCCGGCTAGGACAAGGAGTTCAACATTTGGAGGTCTACAGGTGAGCCACACCTTCCTTAGGAGAAAGTTCTTTCTGCACATGTTTACCATGTGCTAGTCCCACGTAATGCAGGCAAGGGCCACCACCCACACCTCTTCACCCTCAGAGTAAGCTAGGTGCTTCCGTTTTTAAAAACAAAAGAACGCTGCGCTGTGGCAACCCTTATGCATCAAGACACAAGGACTAAGTGGGCTGCAAGAAGCCTACACTTCCACCCAGAACGAAGACGTCTGTACAGTATAGGGTGAGCGCTAATCCTGTCCTAGACTTTCCCAGTTCCCTTGCCTTGTACTAACCACTGGTGATGGGATTCCAGAGGCTCAAAATACGCATGTTTCCACCTGCAGAGGGGAACATGCAACTTAGTCTGTGAGTGAGTGGTGCGTTTGTTATGTAGGCCCTTCCAGGAAATCCATTCAGATACTCGTAAAGCCAGGCCTCTCTGGACAGGTCAAAACCTTGTGATGTTCACACGAAGTGACACCTTGATCTGAAGGCGAGATGAACCTTTTAAGGCTCGTTCACACTTCCGCTTGTCTCGCACTTACTAGGCGTGGGTCCAGGTGATTTTTTTTGCGCCATTGCTTTCTCCTGGAAAATCCACTCTGCGGCACTGATTTGGAACAAAATGACATAGAATTGTAGAGTTGGAAGGGGCCAACCCTCTGCATTCCGGGAATATTTTGCCCAATGGAAAGCCTGATTGTTCCAATTCAGCAGCAAACTATAGGTTTTCCTGGGGGGAAGTGGTCGGGCAAACGAAAGTGTTGATGAACCCCCTAGGCTGAACTTCTAGCAATGTTTTGTTTTTCAGATGATGCTTCAGAGTTGCATCTGAATTTGGACCGTTGCAAGGGTAGGGAATGGAAAGGACTAGGGCGAGGGTTCAGAACGACGAAGTACGCCTTGAAAAGAATTTGCACTGTGGTGCCCTTTTATGACAAAGCAGACAGCACTGTAGGTATATCTCTTTAAGGCTATTTTCGAAGTCTTGCTGCAGTGACCCCTGTGAAGACTGAGCCTTTCTCCTTTAGAAGAAAACCTTTGATGTTGTTGATTAGTTGCACTAAATGTTTAACTGCTTGTCCTCGAAGCCGCTTTGAGTCAATTAGCAGCAGCACGAGAGAGTGGATATCGCGGAGTCGGATTCCTTTTTAAAAACGCGTTTGCTGATTTTAAGTGAGATGTGGGACTCGGAGCTCTGCTTGCAGGTCACGTTTTGCAAGTAGCCACACAGGCTAGCACACCCCATGGCTGGGCTCTGTGTTCGTAACCCGACCTCCAGCATCCTGGAAGTGTCAAGGAAGAACAGCAACGGTTTAAAAAGAAAGTGTGCCACTCGACTCCAGATACATGAGCGTGACCCTGTGAGAAGTACTTGCGAGTTCTGGAGTAGCAATCTCCCATCGAGGGTGACTGAGGGTAGGAGCGTGAACAATAAAACCATTATAATCAACACAAAAATACAGAAGCTGAAGATATTATTGACGTAGCCACCAGAGGCTTGGAAAAACAGGAACGTCTTTATGCTGCAGTGAAATTCCGTAAGTGTGAAGGCCTTCAGTGTCCCTAAGGGGAGGGAGTTGCACAGCTGGGGTGCAACTTCAGGGTGCAATTAACGCTCCCAGGTGGCTCCAATTTTGAGCCCTGTCATAAAAATGCTTATCTCCCCCACCCCCAAACCTCTTTCATTGGTTCAACAACTCTTCAGAGAAATTGTCATTATAAAAGAGCTGATAATGAGGTTTTCTCAGCCATTAGCAAGCTCTTCTGACTTGCAAAGTTTTGACTTTTCCTCCTTCAGCTCTTCCAGGTTCTGTAACTCTTCTTCATTCATCTTTATGGCTTCAGGGGTTTGCTTGTCATCCTTGAAAGCTGCTCCTGTTTCTTTTTGCGGCCATTTCAGTCTGTCCCGCAAAAGTGGCAGCTCTTTTGACAAAATCTTCCTTGCTGGCAGTTAAGGTCTTTCCTGAGTGGAGAATTGGAGATTCCCCAATGATCTTCTTTCAAAGGCAAAGACATTCTTCATCATCACTCAGTCTACCATTTTCCAACATCCCATCTGGTATGTGTCCACTTTATTACACCATCTGATCTTCGCCCCTTGGCTTACAATACTCTTCCAGTCTTTCCTCCTTCACTTTCAATTCTTCCACCGTGGAACAACTTGTAACACTGTCTGCCGGTATGTAGGATGTTGTTGTTGTTTAGTCGTGTCCGACTCCTTGTGACTCCATGGACCAGAGCACGCCAGGCACTTCTGTCTTCCACTGCCTCCCGCAGTTTGGTCAAACTCATGTTGGTAGCTTCGAGAACACTATCCAACCATCTCGTCCTCCGTCGTCCCCTTCTCCTTGTGCCCTCCATCTTTCCCAACATCAGGATCTTTTCCAGGGAGTCTTCTCTTCTCATGAGGTGGCCAAAGTATTGGAGCCTCAGCTTCAGGATCTGTCCTTCCAGTGAGCACTCAGGGCTGATTACCTTCAGAATGGAGAGGTTTGATCTTCTTGCAGTTGATGGGACTCTCAAGAATCTCCTCCAGCACCATCAAAAGCATCAATTCTTCGGCGATCAGCCTTCTTGATGGTCCAGCTCTCACTTCCATACATCACTACTGGGAAAACCATAGCTTTTACTATACGGACCTTGTTGGCAAGGTGATGTCTCTGCTTTTTAAGATGCTGTCTAGGTATGTAGTATAGCGTAATGCAAAACTCTGTACAGCACAGTGTCTGGTTATCTCACTGCAGCTGTTTTAGCAAACTTGTTTTTAATGGTGCAATCCACCCTGGGACTATAAAGGGTGGGTAATAAATTTATTATTAACTTTTTCATTCTCTCTCCCTTTAAAGCACTTTTTTTTAAAGCCAGACAAAAGCCAGACTGAAGGATGGATAAACCATAACCAACCTTTTTTTTGGGGGAGGGGGCAGGTTCTTGATGCCTTGCTGGCTTCCAAAGGTCACCAACCAGTTGTGTATACAGCATGACCATGTCCTGGCATTCCCAATCTGGGGTAGATCCTCTCTCGCAACATCCATGATTTTTTAAAGTTTATTCAGGAACAGATAATGGCTTGGAGCCAGTACCTTCAAGAGAACAAGTGGCCTCTCTGAGCAGTGTTTTTTCTTGCCTTGGTGAAGATCTGACCTATAAACATTTCCTCAAGGCGATTGTGCAGTCCTACATCCCGGTCAGAGATTCCTTTCTTGGGATTTAAATTGGGTTCTCACAATCCATAGCTACCTTGCGATCTGAAGCTTTTACTTCAGCTTATATGTTTCTGAGTCGGGGGGACAGCTTGAGTTCATAAATGAATGAATGAAACTTTATTTGCATCAGCCGCAGCAACAAAAGAACATTGTGATATACACAGAACAAAATAAAAAGTTGATGATGTAAAACACAGTTTAGGGTCCACAACTTGAGTTCATATCTACCATATTCAACGAAGTCTTTGCATTTCAGTGCCATTTTCATTTTTCTTTCTTTCAAATTACTTTCTTCTTCCATCATTTCATTCCACAGTCTCTGTGTGCACACTTTTGCTGGTTGCATCCAGCTGCAGTTCTTTCTGATATGGAATGAAATGAAATGGGAAAGTCTCGTAAATCCCAGTAGCTTTCCAAGAACCTGGATTGCACTATTCATTAGTGAGGCCGAAAACTCACTGCCTTCGCCATCTTAAATAAAAACAAACCCATCTGGAGAAAAGAAACTGCAGCTGAAGAATTCCAAATAATGAAATCCGTCTCTGTCACCACCACTGACACCACTGCCAAGTTACACAAGTTTGTGTTTGTGATTTTTATTTTCATCGCTGTGCTGCTTATGCAAAATAATGGTGCAATAACCTGCTTCAAGGTGTGGTACTTTAAAAGGGTAACACTGGGTCTAACTGGAAAGATGAGCATTTTCAATGGACAAAATAAAATCTTAAAAAAATATAGTTCAGTTTTGTTATTCATGGGCTCTGCTGAAGTTTATACAATTGTTAAGTTTTGTTCTGAAATACACAAACTGATAAGCCTGTCCAGTAGTAGCAAGTGGGAGCCGAATTTCGGCTGCCCTAGGGGCTAGCCGCAAAGGGGCAAGCAAGGTGGCTAGTTGCCCGAGCTGTGGGGCAAATGGTTCTAGCAATATGTATAAAGCCAGAATCATGGAGTTGAAGAAAGAACTAGGATTCAGGCAAAAGCTTTAAAATACGCATTGGGTTATGCTCAAATTAACAGGGAGAAATACATAATTTCGTTTCATCAGCTGTCCTGGGCTTGAAGGACACATTAGGCTACAGAGTACGGTTACCAGATTTTTTTCAATGAATCCGGGGACACTTCCCCCCCCCCTTGAAGCTGAGTAGTAGTGGGGATGGTGTGGCCAAAGACCCTGGGCCCAAGCACACATGCATATTTTATAAAAGTGCAAAGCCCTTCTTTCGCACCCTGTGAAACATAAATGTGCAGTTTTTAAAAAAGCTGGGCAACTGGGCGCTGCCCTCCCTGATCTCCTTCCCCCTTCCTCCTTTGTTTTGACAGATCAGGGGAGGTTCGGGAGTCACAGGCAGGTGGCCATTGCCCAGGAGGGGCCAGCCTGGTAGTGCAGTTGGCTCGGCTGGCTTCAGGAGCTGCCCACTGCCGTGGCGCCCGCCATTTTTCCTGCGCCACGGCAGCAAGCAGCTCCTGAAGCCAGCCAGAGCCAACTGGGCTAACCGGCTGGCTCCGGGCTGCTGAGGATGCCACTGCCAAGTTTCTTGGGGACAGATTTGCAAATCCGGGAACTGGGATCTCTGGTAACCCTACTACAGAGGGCTTAGGAACTTTCATCGAAAGCTGAAAACCATGGAAACTTCAGGGCTCATCCACATGCGAGTTTGATGTTGATTTGAAGCCGCTTCTCTGTTTTTGTTGTATCCACTCGACAGCCGCCTCTTTCAAGTGCATTCTTGGCAGCCTGCACTTTCCCACCACTAAATTCAGATTTCTCTGAGCTGCAGATAATCCAATAAGGGAAGGAAATCCAATATAAAAAGGCACATTACCTGACTGAGGATGCACTGAACATCATTGCATGGGTGGGTTTTTGTTTTGTTTTAGAACATGTGTGGTGAAACTTCACTGGGTGCTGTCTGTTGCACCACCTCCTCCTTCCATGAGCCCAAAGCAAGATGTAGGTCTGCCCTTTTCCACAGGTTACAAAAATGGAAACACAACACGCTGGCTAATAACTGTTAGTAAATATATAATTGGTACGTCATTCAAAATATATGAATAAGCCACATTAACCAGTGAGCACTGATCCACTAGTATGATCTTCACTAGTATGTATATTTCATTGATAATTATTCGGTATGTACCTCTATATATATT